GTGAGGGTTTTCTCCCAATGCCCTCTCCCTGCCTCACTTGCCTGTGACACTCCTCTGTCTCTGGACACCCGGACAGAGGAGGCTGAGGTAGGGAGAAATTGGGAGGGTAAAAGTAGAGGAAGTGACACTGAGACTGTGACACTGATGAAGTTAAAGCAATCCTTGTGTTTGTTTTCCTCCAGCAGTTAGCTTTGGCTTCTTGAGACCCTGTGCATAACATTAGTAGTACTTGTTCTGGTGTCATTGTGTGTGCCTGGTACGTGGAAGGTATGTAGTACACTACACAGAGAAGGAAAGAAAAGGATGGAAACTCATGCTGCAGTGATCCATACCACACGTCCCGCTATATTTATTCCTGCATTTAATAATCACGTATAAATTAGTTGCCTATTTCGAATTGGGCACCAGGTAGACAAACACAAATAAGCACAGCACCTACACCTGAGGGCTAAAGGTTTAGTGGACAAGTCTCTTATGTAAACTCATAAACCCAATACAATATTACAGGTGCTGGGGTTAGAAACGCAAGGGCATAATGACTCACATTATGCACTACAGAGTCATATTATACTAAATCTGTATATGTATAAACTGTTCATGATAAAATATTGGAACTCCACTTTAAAGTTCCTCTCAGATACCACATTAAAGTGCTAGAGAGCTACAAGAAAATATGAAGGCCAGGCATGGTGGCTCATGCCTGTAATCCCAGCACATTGAGGCCAAGGCAGGAGGATTGCAAGTAGCTGGGCATGGTGGTGCATACCTGTAGTCCCAGTTGCTTGGGAGGTTGAGGCAGAAGGATCACCTGAGCCCAGGAGGCTGAGGCTGTGGTGAGCTGGTGATTGTGCCACTGCACTCCAGCCTGGACAACAGAGTGAGACTTCAATTGAAAAAAAATGAGAATAGGATCTTTAGATGAGGTCCAAGGACAATTTCCCTTAAAATTAAAAAATTGGTTTCATTGTGAAATAATTTCAGACTTTAAAAAGTTGCAAACAGCACAAATATCTCCACATATTCTTCACCAGATTTTCCAAATGGGAACCACTTCCATAACCATAGTACAATGATCAGAATCAGGAAATTGATGTGGATACAATACTACTATCCACAGGCCTTGCTCACATTTCATCAATTGTTCAACTAATGTCCTCTTTCTGCTCTGGGATTCCATCCAGGATCCCACATCAGACTGGTTTTGTTTCCTCTCATTTATCTTTCATTACCTTGACACCTTTTAGGAGAACTGGTCAGGTTTGTTTTCTTTCAAAGAATTGCCCTCACTTTGGATTTGTCTGATGTATTTTTGGCAAGAAACCCTCAGAAGGAGGTCATGTCCTTCTTAGAGCACCATATGTTAATGTCACTTCTCATTCCTGGTGCATGCAGTGCTAGGACTCCCATGGGCATTTTGGGACCTGGCTGAGAGTTGGGAATAATATACCTCTGGGCTTAGTGGGGTGTGTTTATGAGGGTTGCTGTGACTAAACACAAAGCATATACAACAATAGACACACAATGCATTTGCTTTTTCTTTTCTTTCTTTCTTTTTGAGTCAGAGTCTCACTCTGTCATCCAGGCTGGAGTGTAGTCGCATGATCATGGCCACCGCAACCTCTATCTGCTGGGCTCAAGCGATCCTTCCACTTCAGCCTTCCAAGTAACTGAAACTACAGGTGTGTTCCACCACACCCAGCTAATTATTTCATTTTATTGTAGAGACCAGGTTTCTCCAAGTTGCTCAGGCTGGTCTCAAACCCCTGGACTCCAGCAATCCTCTTACCTCTGCCTCCCACAGTGCTGGTATTACAAGCATGAGTCACTGCACTCAGCTTGCCTTTGTTTTCTTTTAATGGAAAGTGCAGAAAACACACACTCAAAACACTTGTACTTGTAGGGCACAAACTTGTGACAGTCAGAGAACAGGCCTGAAATCGATTGTTTGCTGTGTCCCCACATCTCAGACTGTGTGCAGTGTATACAACGCATCTCATTGTGGTGAAATCCGATGGGTCCACAGCAAAGAGCAGACAAAACTGTCACCAATGCAGGACACCAGCTGGAACACACAAGTGCTTGGGAGCAAAACCCTTGCACATTGTCATTGTGCCACCTGGTGTATCATTTGGTCACACAAGTGCACATTCCTATGTCATAGCAGCATCTCAAACTGAACATGAATTACTCTGGCATATGAATTTCTTGATCATTTCAGAACTAGAATGAGACAAACTGAAGTAGCCTGGTGGGAGCCAAAAATAAAAACAGAATTGAAGGCCAGGTATGGTGGCTCTTGCCTGTAATCCCAGTACTTTGGGAGGCCAAGGTGGGAGGATTGCTTGAGCCCAGGAGTTCAAGTCCAGTCTAGGCAACATAGCAAGACCTCATCTCTACTAAAAAATAAAAAATTTAGCCAGGAGTGATGGTGTGCGCCTGTAGTCCCAGTTACTTGGGAAGCTGAGGCTGTAGTAAGCCACGGATGGTACCACTGCACTCCAGCCTGGGCCAGAGTGAGACGCTGACTCGACAAATAAACAGAATTTAAGCTGGGCATGGTAGTGTGCACCTGTTGTCCTAGCTACTTAAGAGACTATGATAGGAGGATTGCTGCAGCCCAAGAATTCAAGTCCAGCCTGTGCTATACAGCAGGACCCTATCTCTAACAAAATAAAAAATAAAAACAATTAAAATGAGTATTAACTTTTCAAAAATTTTCACTTGTGAATTTTTCCTTATTTGAAATATTCATTCCCCAGCCTAATTTTGAAATACTTTTATGATATAGTGTCTTACTGATATGGATTTTTCAGGTCAGCCTGTGCTTCAAGAATGTCACCTCAATGCGTCGGCCAGCTGAGCCCCAGAGAGGGTCGGCTCAATGAACAAGTTGGCTCTAATGAGCTGGCAAGCCAAGCCCTGAGAGTGTTGCTGATTCGGTGGGCTGGCAAGCCTAGCCCCCAGAGTGTTGGCTCTAATGGTCTGGCAAGTCAAACCCTGAGAGTGTTGCAGCCCCCAGAAATGTCTCAGCTTCGGAGTCTTGCCTTCTTCCAGCAGCTCTGCCAGTTCAGCTGGCTCTGTCAGCTGGCAAGCCAGCCTCCAGGGTGCATGGTTCTTCAGCTCTGATGACCTGCAGCTCTTCAGGTCAGGGCTCTTGTCTCATGCCCAGGATGGCTGGAAAGTGAGAAAGCAGAATTTATTGAGGACAGAAAAGCTCTCACAGTGGGAGGAGACCTGAGAGAGTGGTGATATGGAGCTGAAACCATATAGCAATACGACTGAGCCGATTGTCTAGCACTAGCTGTGAGCTGATTGTCTAGCACTAGCTGTTCTGATTGGGCAGTACTGAGGACCAATTGGCAGGAGGTAGGGGCTCAATGGTGAGCTGATTGGTTGTTTTTCTATCCCAGCAGCGAGTACTTAAGCTCTAGTTTGAGAGGCGCATGGAGCTTGTTTACCAACCTGAATGTATCAGTCCAGAGGCCTGCTGGAAGTTCACTACATTGTTACTGGAGGACCGGCTCTGTCTGCTTAGCTTTTCTCTAGCTATCTCCTCTCTCATTACCACATCTCCAATTGCCTCATCTTTGGGCCTCACAAATCTGCTAATGAAAGCATCTCTAATCTTACCACTCAAAAGAAACCAACCATTTTTCTTGGGTGGTTTTGGCAGATTGCTTCCAACTGCAGGGATGGTGTGTTCTCCAGGAAGACAGAATGATGGGAGTGGTATTTCGTGTACAGCCCTGCTCTGAACCAGGCGTCAGCTCTAACCACATGAACACATCAACTCACTTGGATCTCACCACAGCTCATCTCCAATTACAAGAGAGAAAACTGGGGCTCACAGAGGCTGGGTCACTTGCTCACAGCCACACAACTCAGAAATGACAGAGGTAGCTTTGCTCCAAGCAACTTGGCTCCGTGGTGCTGGGCATGTGGTTAGTGCCACACTATAGTAGTAAACTCTGGGGCAGGACATAGAACTCATTCATGGTACAAATTCCTCACACCTCCCTGTAGCCACACTGTGTTGTGTGACTCTAAGGCTCCTTCCATTAAAGAGGTGGAGCCTGTTGCAAAGCCTTTGACATTGGGTTTGGCCACGTGATGTGTTCTGCCAATGAAGTTAGCAGGTGTGATCGGACAAAGCCAGAACAAGCCCCTTTGTAAATGGGCTCTTTCTGCACATTCCATGGACACATCCAGTCACACTGCTCGTCCCAGGAGGAAGAGGAGAGACACATGGCACAGATCCCAGCATGGATCCACTGCTCATCCATAAATTCATGAGCTAAGTACTTCATTGCATCGAACACTGCTGAGATTTTACAGTTGTTATACATCACTATTGGGGTGATAACTAACTGACATGACCTGTGTCCTTGACTGTTGTCCTGACTGCAGACTGGTCTTAATCGGGCTAGCATAAATAAATTACACACAGGCTGGGTGCAATGGCTCATGCCTGTAACCCAGGGCTTTGAGAGTTTGAGGTGGGAGGATTGTGGTCAGGAGTTTGAGAACAGCTTGGGCTACATAGCAAGACCTTGTCTCTACAAAAATAAAAAATTAGCGGGGTGTGATGGCATACACCTGTAGTCCCAGTTACTTGGGAGGCTGAGGCAGAAGGACTGCCTGAGCCTAGGAGGTCGAGGCTACAGTGAGCCATGATCACACCACTGTACTCCAGCCTGGATGACAGAGATCCCTACTCAAAAAAAAAAAAAAAAAGCTGGGTATGGTGGTACATGCCTATAGTCCCAGCTACTCAGGCTGAGGAAGGAGGATCACTTGAGTCCAGAAGCTGTGATTACACCACCACACTCTAGCCTGAGCAAAAGAGTGAGACTGTCTCAAAAAAGAATTAGTAAGTTACACGCATATAATAAATACCACAGTATACTCAGTTTCTGATTTTTTCCAAATATGATGAGGGCATTCTGATTCGTTTTTATAAAAAGCTGTAACATAGGTAAATTAAAGACATGCTCCATTCATTTGAAGAGAAGCTATTTATTGTGTTAAAGTCAAGCACGATGATCTGTTGATAGGCAAGTGGTAAGTGTCGAGCACGAAATCTGCACACATTTGCCATGGTGGACTGAAGGATACAAGCCACAAGCAGCACCCCACCAGGCAGAGCATTCCATAGCTGCACAACAGCACAGGGCGAGGGAGCAGCCACTACCCACGAAGGCCAAGGGCCAACCATTAGCACCAGATTGGTTTTATATGCAATAATATAACTATATACAGAGTTATGTACATTGACTTGCTAGAATCTTTGGGTCCCCACTAACCAGACGTTTAAGAGGCAAACAGGGGAACAGATAGGACAGCTGTGATTCCATGTGCTTTGCTACAGGGATACTCGAGCACTATGTATTGCTATGTAGAAGAGAAAAAGACACCAAGAGGCTGGTACAGACACACAGATGCGATTATTCACATTGTACACACACATCATCAAGATAACCACAACACCATTACTGAGGGGAAAGAATCACAGGTAAACGCTTTGCCAAACGACATACTCTGAAATCCCTTGGGCTATCTCCCCAAGGGGGAAGGATGAAGGGAAGTGCACAGCCAGCTTCACCTTTTCTGACGTGACCACCATTCACAGGACATGCCTCCCAGGTGGAGAAGGGGAGGGCACCTCATTGGTAGAACAGGAATTTTTCAAGTCAGCAGTAGCTTAATTGAATAGGAATAAACACTTTTGAAGAAACATTTATCCTTTTGGCATGGGTAGGTTGCCAAAACAGTGGTTTATTGCCTGCATGATTGAAGCCTGCCAGTTTGGGCTTGGCTCTACAGAATGCATTGACATCAACGCAGAGCCTCTGGCTCAGGAAGTGTGGATTCCAGTCCATTAAGACATCTGTGCGTGTGCATGCTTTGGTAAGGCTGTGGTCACTGCAGCTGACAAAGTGAAATCTCCCCCCTGCTGGAAAACTTCTTTTATGGGAATAAGGGGAAATGAGAATTAAAATGATCCCTTGACAGAACAAATGCCCTAATATTACCTACACATGAAGTCATCTGAGGGATTCACTCACCATTAACCAGACATTTAATTAGATACAGGTTTTGAAGAATACACCGGATCTACGATTATTACATAAAAATAAGTAAGTTATAAGTTATAACCAAGCCATCGGCAGTTGAGCATCTTTTCATGTGTGTATTTGTCATGCCTGTATCCTCTTTGGTGAAGTATCTATTCAAGTTTTTTGTCCACTTTTTAATTAGGCTGCTTGTTGTCTTACTGTTGAGTTTTGAGAGTTCTTTATATATACTAGATACAAATCCTTTGTCAGACATGATTTGCAAATATTTTCTCCATCTATGAAGTGCCAATTGGAAATTGACAGCATGACAGTGTTTTTGATTTTTGTTTTCTAAATAAATAAGGCTCTATTTAGAATCTCACTATTTCAACCAATAAAAAGGGCATGAACTCTTTAAGCTCTGTGGCAGAAAAAGATAAAGTTTAGGAGGTGTACAGTCCACAGGCCCTCTGAAAGCCAGAGGAAGGAGTCTTACAGTACATGGAATGTGGCCCTCATGGCATGGTAACAGATTTCAGGAGGCAAAAAGAGAAAAGTAGCCAATTATCATTAATGACCATACTCACATAAAATAAATGTTCTGGGAAGAAAGGAGCTTAAAAAATATTCCATAGGTCTTGGTAAACAGATAACAAGCACATTATTACTGGACACACTTTTAACCAAAGAATTTTACTTTGCAGAAAAACATCATTTAAACTGTGATGTTGGGTGAGGACTAAAGCTATTTGCCTGCTTGGTGCGTGAGCGTGTTTTAAAGCATGCACATTATTTCTTAAGCGGTGATTTAAATCTTAGAATGAGTGAACCCAACACATAGACTGCTTGTTTCACAGTTGGTTTTTAACCATTAGGAAACTATTCACCTTTCCAAAATGTTAATAAATTATCATCATCATGATTTCTGCTGGGTCAGAGAACATCATTACATGGCAAAGACAACAAATGTTCACACTGCTGAAGGAAAAGGGACAAAACCTGGCAGCCCATGCCCAGATGAATCCCAAGAGAAGATGCGTGCCAGGGTCTCCCTTCTCATGCAACTCATGACGCACTGGCCACGCCTGAGTGGTTGGCTCAGCATCTGAAGTCGGGAGGAACAGCGGATTTACCACTGACAAGGACCACCTGCATGCACCACGGGCCCAGCCCACAGCCACACGGTGGAAACTCGCCATCCGGCAGAACCTGGCGCCAGGTGCAGTTACACATCAAGGAAAGCAGCTAGCGGCGAGCCACTCTGCTCAGCATTCAAAGGGAAACTAAAACATTAAATAAATCAGCCCACACAAACACGGAAGTTATTGCTTTTCTAATAGCCCCTTGCTATTGGAGGAGTCTCCCTCCAGGATATAAATACGGGCTGGAATTTTCATGCGTCCTTGGGGACGGAGCTCTGAGGCCCCGTGTCCCTCCTCTGCCAGGGGCAGGTCTCTCATTTGCCCCTTTCAGGCTGAAGGCTGTCAAACAAGCACTTCAGCTGCTCTTCACCGAGGTGGATCTTGTCTTCCAGCTCCCGCTGCTCGATGATAAGAGCTGACTTCATCTTCACGAAGTGCTCATAGTCTGCAAGGCTCTCCTCACTGAGATAGTTGGCCAGAATGTCGAAGACAATGCGCTCCCTGCGGTCCAGGTTCTCTTTGAGTTCCTTGGCATCCTCGTGCTGCTGGATGAGTACTCTCTGCTTCTCGAGTAGTGATTGCTGTTGAGAGAGAGAAACAAGCCTGCTGAGGACCAGGATGAGAGCAGGGACTCCAGCCAACCCTTGGAAACTCCAGCACCGTTGGGGGCTGGTCCCATGGCTGCCTATCTGCTTATCAATGGAAACCCTAGTGCCACGAGATCTGATGGCATCCACACAGCATCATTGGGACACAGGCAGCAGGTGTCTCATGGCCTCCTCCTACCTACCTTGAATGATGAGCAGAAGAGTCACCAAGGGACTAAAAATGACAGGATGTTGAGGTGCTCAAAAGGGATAGAGGACTTAGAGACCCCAATGGTGTCAAAGCCCTTTCCCTGACAACATGGTGAGAAAGTTGGCAAAAGGGAAATGTCCTAAAGAAATTACAGGGTAGGATTTCTGAACTCTGGCAGAAGGAGGAGCCTGTGAGCAGGCAAGGGCATACAAAGGAGCAGAGGGGACAGGAGACAGGCAGGGCTGTGAACCTGTTGGGCATCGGTTCCCTCATCTCTGTTTGTAACTTGGGTGCAAACCCTCATGTAGTTGGTTCCATGACAACACAGTTACTAGGGACTTGGCTGAGTGCAGAAGGGCACAGACTCCAAGCCCAGCACCAGGAGAGCTTTTCTCTGTAGCCCCAAACTGCCCTCACCTGGAGAAATGGGAGGGGCACATTTTCTGTTCTCTTTGAGACAAGTTGTTTTTTTAATGAGAAGAGGAACATATTCGGAAGCCCTATTATATGCAAAGAATGAAATCAGATGTTTACTGATATATGTCCTATGAGGTAAAGTCAACAAGGTAGATATTATTATTGCTCTTATTTCATATGTGAAAGAACTAAAAGACCCACTGAGAAATGGCTCAAGAGTCACACACCTCAGGAACGAGAAAAATTAGACACATTTTCTGATTCTTTCTAGACTGTTGTATGCCCTCTTGTTAATCACAGCTACAACAGTGATAAAATGTCATCTGTCCTTGAGTGCTTGTGATTAGTCAGGGGGTGGGTCAGCTCTGTTACTGACTCACACATGGTTAAAAAAAGCAAAAACAAAACAAAACTATTTTCCAGAAAGAGACCGTTATTAGTAACGGTCAAAGAGAATATCTGAAAAGACACCAAAAAGAGGCAACAATTCTGGAAGATCCAGCAGCCCTGCAGTCCAATGACGATGGTTCAACTCCCTGTATTTGATTAGCCCTTTTCCCCCAATTCAAAGGGAGGAGAGGAAGCAAGCACGTACTGGACATTTTGACAGCATCTGCGTGAGGAGGTGGGCAGGCCATGTGGAAACTGTGCTAGGCTCCAAGTAGCTGACTCGGGACACCCAGGACAGCCTTCCCACAGACCACCCCCGTTTCAGGCCAGGTGAGCCTGTATCTACCCGATCACCAGGAGAAGTGCTGTCATCCAAATTATTGAGGGCGTTTTCCACCCGGGCCAGGCGGCCCGACAGTGACAGCAGGAGGTTGACCACTTTGTCCAGGTCCCCGATGAACATTCGGAACTTGTCAAATTCGCTGGGTTTGCAGACGCCTTTCGCGATGGCCTCCACCTCGGCCCCCAGTGCGGTGTTGGCCTGCACATCTTCCAGCAGGCTCTCACGGGCCTCCCGGAGCACCTGTAGCTTACGGCTGATGCTCTCAATGAGTTCCTGCTGCAGGGCACAGATGGCATGGGAACACAAGTCATGGGTTAGGCCACCCCACACAGCCCCACACCCACTGCTGCTTCAGTGCATACATCTGGGTGGGATGCACCAAGCCATACCCATGCCACATCTGCATCGACAAGTAACAGAGGATGTATGAGACTAGAGAAAGGAAAACGACTCTTGGTTAAATTACTGACATTCAGCCAGGTGTGGTGGCTCATGCCTATAATCCTAGCACTTTGGGAGGCTGAGGCGACAGGATTGCCTCAGCCTAGGGGTTGAGGCCAGCCTGGGCAACTTGGTGAGACCTCTTCTCTGCAATAAATAAAAAAATTAGCTGGGCATGATAGCGCATGCCTGTGGTTCCAACTACTTGGAAGGCTGAGGCAAAAGGATCGCCAAGCCCAGTAGGTCAAGGTTGCGGTGGCCATGACCATGCCATTGCACTCCAGCCTGGGCAACAGAGTGAGACTCCAAATAAATAAACAAACAGACAAGCAAACAACTGACATTGAAAAACAAAACAAGCCGGGCTTGGTGGCTCAGCCTGTAATCCCGCACCTTTGGGAGGCTGGGGTGAGTGGATTGCCTGAGCCCGCGGGTTCGAGACCCGCCTGGGCAGGCGAGACCTCATCTCTACAATAAAATTAAAAAAAAAAAAATTAGCCGGGCGTGGTAGCGTGCACCTGTAATTCCAGCTACTCGGAAGGCTGAGGCGGAAGGATCGCCGGAGCCCAGCAGGTCGAGGCTGCGGTGGCCAGGAGTGGCCACTGCACCCCAGTCTGGGCGACAGAGTGAGACTCCAACTCAAAAAAAATAAATAAAAGAAAATGAAAGAAAAACAAAACAAAATAGACCTGTTCTCTCTTGTGAATGTCCTATCAGACAGCACTGGCGTTGTGGGGGCTGGTGCTACTCACAGGAGATGCCATCTCAACCTTTATCTTTGCAAGGATTTGCAAGACCTGTGTGATAGTTTGTGCTTCGTCCATTGTAAGTTTCCATTTAAAGACTCACAAAGAGAGAAATTATTGAGTCTTATGTCCAGTACTGAATTCCACAATTAGAAAGTATCTTGTATATATAATTAGCAATAAAAAATTAAGACAAGTAAAGGGACCTCAATGAACTTAAGACAGTCTTTTACTATAACCTACTGATTTCAATGTGACCAAAATACAAATAGATGACTATTTTTTTTATTGCAGTAAAATATACTTGACACAGAATTATCCATCTTAACCATTTTTCAGTGTACAGTTCTGTGGCATGAGGTGTATTCACTGCTGTGCAACCATCACCACCATCCATCTCCAGAACTCTTTTTTTTTTTTTTTTTAGTAGGGATTTCACTTTGACACCCAGGTTGCACTGCAATGGCACAATCATGGCTCACCACAGCCTTCTACTCCTGGGCTCAAGTTTTTCTTTTGCCTCAGCCTCCTGAGTAGCTGGGTCTATAGCCGCCCAGACCACGTCCAGCTATTTATTTATTTATTTATTGGTAGAGACAAGGTCTCGCCAAGTTGCCGAGGCTGGTCTTGAACCCCTGGGCTCAAGTAATTCTCTCGCCTTGGCCTCTCAAAGTGTTGGGATTACAGGCATGAACCACCACGCCCAGCCATCTCCAGAACTTCATCTTCTCACCAACTGAAACTGCGTAACTATGAAAAACACTAACTCTCCATGACCCATGACCTCAGCACTTTAAATTATTAACTTTTTGGTTTTTTGTTTTTTATAGGTATGATCTCACTATGTTGCCCAGGCTGCAGTACAGTGGCTATTCACAGGTATGACCACAGCTCACTGCAACCTCTAACTCCTGGCCTCAAGCAATCCTCCTGCATCAGCCTCCCAAGTAGCTAGAATTATAGGCATGCACTACCATGCCCAGCTTAAATCATTAACTTTTATAGCATAAAAAAGGTAAAAAGTATGAACCCTTTAAATTGGCCAGCATCCTGAAGTGAAGTAGCACCATATGGTCTGATCTGAGTGACAGACGAAGAAAAAGATCCTCCTCTTCCTCCTCTGTCACCATATTTGAGAAAAATTACAGGCAGGGGTGGCTTAAAGGAGTACAACAGGTAAGTCTTGCCCTGGAAAAACTCCTCTTGTGACCGTGGCCATCCTTCTGCCATTGAATCTACCCAGAGCACATGTCATGGGTGTGTGTCTGGCCAGGGTGAATTATAAAGAAGCAACGATTAGGAGAAAAGTCATAAGCTGCCTTCTAAGAACTGCCCCTGCCACCATCCCTCCATGAGATGCTCTCAACTAAACCAACCTCACATCCACCATGGTTCCCTCGGGGCTGTGGTGGCAGCATGTGCTCTGGGCAGGACACAGCAAGAGGACTGAAAACCGAAACAGTGCTAAAGTGCACAGACCAAAACGAAGACCGAACTATTAACGTGGACAGGAAAGACGAAGTGGGATTTTTCAACCTCACTTTGTCATAACAAGCAATATTACTTTATGCAAAGTGGATTCCTGGAACTTGGTGGTGCCATCACCCCTTCCCTGGGGCAGTTTACAGATTGACTCCATGGGGATCCAAAGAGGTTAGCAGAGAGGAGGTCCAGGATGCCAGGGACTGGACGGATAAAAGATTAAAGTCTCAGTTCAGCTCTCCAGGGTGGAGTGTCCTAGAGCCAAACGGGGTAAGAGCAGCCCTACCTTTGGGGCTAGCATGAAGATGAACAACGTAACAGTATGCAAAGCACTTAGCCTGGTGCTCAGATCTATTAGTGCCTGAGAAGCAGCTGCCTTGATTCCATTAACGATAGTAAACAACTGTCCCGATGACTACTGGGCAGGAAAAGTCAACCCACAGCAGAGAAACAGGAGGAATCACTGGCACCAGATACCACGTTTCCTACTACCTGACCGCGTGAGGCCTTTGTCTCTCATGGACGTTTCTAAAGGGAATCTTCACCCAGTACTTATGTATCCAGAAAAGAGCCCACAAATGCGAGGGTCTGAGCTCTCATGGGAACCGCCTCCTCTTGGTCCAACCTGCCTGGGCTTCATTAGGATATCTGTCTCATACAGACGAACATGGTAGGCAGTTTTATAGGACATCATCTTCACTACTGAGTTATGGGCATGGTGGTTCTCGTAAGAAAACCACATGGAATTGAGAAATTGCTTTGACATTTCCAGGTCGGGTCCCAGCAGGTCCCAGTGGCTCAGGATGTCAAGACATTTTCTTCCCTTGCGATTTTAAAAAAGGGATGTGTCTAGAATTGTTTTCTGTGTGTGTCCGAGTGCCTGTTTACCTACCAGTGATATTATTTGATAGATAGACATTCATCCACAGTTCTGTTTCATAACTCACAAAGTCCTTGTTCTAATGCTGGGCACTTTAAGCCTCAGACACCGAGTCTCTCTCCCTGACCTTCTCCTGCACTCATATCACTTGTTCCTTTTTCCCCCTAAGATGCTAATCTTCTCCCACCGTTCCATAAAGAGATTCTTTGACCTACCTCGTCTGATTGTAGGTCTTAAGATCTCCATATTTCAGAATGGATCCTATCCCATGCCTGGAGGGAAAGGAATGCTGCACAGAAAGGCCAAGAAGAATCCAGACAGATAGGCCTGGCTGGGTTTCCCACCTGGTCTGGCATTAGATCATACCTCTTTGTCCAGTCACATTTCTACACAGTTGTCATCACGTCCCTCCAATGAAGTCTCCATAAAAGACCCAACAAGACAGTGCTTGGAGAGCTTCTGGATGACTGAACAGGTAGAGGTCCCTGGAGGGTGGTGCCCAGGGAGGGCAAAGAAGCTTTGCACCCATTCCCGTGCCTTGCCATACACATATCTTCATCTGTATCCTTTGTAATACCTTTTCTAATAAACCAGAAAATGTGTTTCCTTGAGTTCTGTGAGCTGCTCTAGCAAATTAATTGAGCCTAAAGACAAGGTCGTGGGAATCCCAACTTGAAGCTGGTTGGTCAGAAGGTCTGGAGACCTGGACTTGTAACTGGTCTCCAGGGACAGGAGGACAGTCTTGGAAACTGAGCCTTCATCCTGTGGAATCTGACGCTATCTTCAAGTAGACAACAACAGAACTGAACTGAATTAGAGGATGCCCAGCTGGGGCCCGCTGCAGGGTGGATTGCTTGGTGTGTGGGGAGAAACCCCTACACTTTGGTTACAGAAGTCTTGTTGATTGCTGTGGTGTGAGAGCAGAGCAAAAAAATTCTGTGTTTTTTCCTACTCATTACCTATTCTAGAGAGATTGTTTAAATCGACTTTGAATCCCACACAGCTCAGAACACTGCCATATTTTAGATTTTTATCACTTGAGGGAAAAGTACAAAATCAGGGTGGAGAACATTCCAAATTCTTGCCTGATGCCAATGCTAACCTGAATGAATATTTCAAGCAACATAGATAGTTGTGAACACAGGAGGATAACCAGCCAGTGTAACTCAGTAATTTTTCAGCAATTATGGTAATGAAGATTTTATACCAGTACATAAAACGTGCCCTCAAAACCTACCCCAGCTGAGCTAATTTGAAACTGGGCACTCGGAAGGAGTCCAAATTCTTTATTGATTCTTTTATGTGACTTATGCAAATTTTTATTAAAAACTTCTCCCCTCTTTGTTAAAGGGCCATTATACGAAAGCAGCTGTTGGCTTTCAAAGATTTTGCCAGGAGACCTGGCCCAGGGCAGCACACACACCAGTGGCCATCAGTACCGCCTAGGGCACCAAAGATTTTGCCACTGCAGTCTTCCTGCCGGCAAGCCCATCTGCTATTTCTTGTAGCACATGGCATTCCAGGGGGCTCAGGTGAGAGCTTGCGGGTTAGAAGCCAGGTGCATGGTCACCTTTCACCTTTATATTTGGATATGCCAAGACTCAGGGGATGGAGCCCAGGCTGTTCCCTTTCTCCATCCGGTACAACCCAGCCACCCACCTTTTGTTCTATTCTATGGGGAGAAATCAGGTCTTTTCTCTTTGGGCCCTGTACCACCTTAGTTTCAGGGAAAAACCATAATCCTCAAAGATTCCTAAATTAATTTATTTATTTTTGAGTTGGAGTCTCACTCTGTCACTCCAGCTGGAGTGTAGTGGCACACTCATGGCCACCCCAGCCTCGACCTGCTGGGCTCCAGCGATCCTCCCACCTCAGCCTTCCAAGTAGCCGGAACTACAGGCACGCACCACTGTGCCCAGCTAATCTTCAATTTATTGTAGAGACGAGGTCTCAAGTTGCCCGGGCTGGTCTTCGAACCTGCAGTCTCAGGCAATCCACTTGCCTCAGCCTCCCAAAGTGCTTGGATTACAGGCTGAGCCACTGAGTCCGGCCAAAGATTCCAAATTTAAACCAATCAGTTGTCTTCAATTCTCCTAAAGAATCTCCACAACGTAACCTGGGTACTCTCTTTCCTGGGCAGAGTCTGCCTGGCTGCCCTGGTTATAAAACCATACTTAGCCCTCATGCCTAACACTTCCCTATAGGTCACCAGAATTCCCCATCACATCCCTGCTTGGGGTTTCTACTCTCTTGCCTCTATCCTTAGTCTTTCCCTAAAACAGGGGCACCAGATTAGGCTTTCAGCTCTATGATCACCCAGTGATGCTGTGATCTGGACAGCCACGGTCCCCCTGGAAATGCTGGATCCCCACGGGATTAGGGTCTGGTTGTTTTCTCATGAAACAGCCACAGCACACCTGGCCCATCAAGCCCCACCTACCATGCTCACTGCCTCCCCCAAAACGCCTCCACCTGGGCACATTCCACAAGGGCGACATCACCCATGTGTGGCTGCTGGAAAGCAGGGAGAAAAGATAGTGCGGTGGTGGACTGATTGTCAAATCAAACAGAAAAATAGGACCACTGAGTCATCAGCCCTATAGAGAACTGTGATTTACCAAATGTGCTACTTATGGTGCAACTGCACAACTCATGCTCACTGAACTCAAGTGGAAGTCTGCTTGGAATTCACAGTGACTCATTCAGCCCTGAAGCCATCAACTCTGGTGAAGTGACATCTCACATCTTGAGCCTTCCAAAACAGGTGGACAAACTGCCACCCAGATGAAGGCGGGCAGGATCAAGACATGTTGCTTCTAAAGTTCGTTACATCATAAACAACCAGGCACACAAGTGAAGGATGTCGTTCTCCACATTTGGCCAACATTAAAATGGTCCAGACTGTATGATTTCTCTAGTTTTATGCAGAAAAACTAAAAACATTTTGGGTTATTTCTTTTCTTTTCTTTTAAAAAAAAGAAGGAACATGTAAGCCGGGCTCGGTGGCTCAGCCTGTAATCCCGTGCCTTTGGGAGGCTGAGGTGA